CTGCTGCTGCTGCTGCTGCTGCTGTTGCTGCTGCTGCTGCTGCTGCTGCTGCTGCTGCTGTTGCTGCTGCAGGTCATTTGTTGATATGTGAGCCTTTGATGAATGCATCTCGCTTACAGCAGATGATAGGGCGTTTAACCCGCATAGGTCAGCGAGCATCTGCGGTGTATGTACACCTTTTTTATTTGGAGAAAACAATAGAGCAGCGTATTCTGTATATGCGGCCGCCGCCAGTAGCAGTAGGCGGCGGGGGAATTCAAGTTTCTGTATCAGGGGGGAGAGAGGGGGCTCCCCATGAAGGTTTTTTGCCGAAAAACCCGCAAATAAAAGAAAATAATATTTTTAATTATCCAGAAATATTATCTTTCTTAGGTTTGGCTTCAAACGAGCCGTTTTCGTAAACAGAAACCCAAAAAATTGGGGTGTATGTACACCTCATCAACCGGGTGTGATCTGCACTGCATCGGCCACCCATATAAACCATTTTTTTGTCATTTTTTCTCGTTTTTTTTGCAAATAAACTTTGAAAATACATTTATAAGTTTTAAAACACAACAAATAAGAGAAAAAAGATCATGAAATCCGCCGAAATGGAGTGGAAAGCTGTATCTGAATCGCCGGCATCAGCATCAGCAGAACCAACTGAGGAATATGAACAGGCCGATGAACACGGCCTGCGGTGGCGGGAAACAGAAATAGGTGTTTTAGCATTTAAATTAAATAAAGACGGCACTAAAATGTGGATTCATTTCGACGATGATGGAAACGGAACACAAATTCTCTTCGATGCTGACGGAAACGCTTACTACGTACACGGCGATACCACCATACCCGTGCAGCAACCGCCTAAACCCCAAACCCCCCAAAACCCTCAAAACCCCCAAAACCCTCTCAGCTATACAAGCCACCAGGAGGGGCTAGAGAATACAGAGAATACCGAGGAAACAGCAGCAGCAGCAGCAGCAGCAGAGTGTGAAACAGCAGCAGCTGCATGCGCTGAAAGAAACGGAAAAGAAGAACAGACAGAAGCAGAAGCTGATGATGCTGCTGATGCAGAAGCTGCTGCTGCTGCTGCTGCTGCTGCTGCAGCTGCTACTGCTTCTCAGGAAACATTCGGAAGGGGCACAACTCTTTCACAAATTGAACTGCTGACGGAAAAAGAAGAGGCTGCGTGGAGCCCCCAGCAGCCAGAG